CCCATCACTCACAACAACACTCCCGTGGAACCCAGGGTTCATTTTGTGAGGCCAGAACAATTTATAAACATAGTTCATCCTCCTTACCATATATTGGCTATTTTGTAGGCAAGTTCTCAGATTTATTTATTCCTCTCCCACCTTATCTTTTTAAACTTTTAAAGATGGATTATTTTGTTTGAGACATATTGCCTGCCTCGAGGCAACACAGAAGCCAAGAAAGGCCAGGAAGACAGTGGAGCTGTCCTCTCATGCATCATGAACACTGTTTCTCCCTCTTTCCCTATTCTAGGTCTAGTACCATGTTTGCATCCATAGGCTAGAGTCATATTTATTAGCAAAAGCCACAATTAGCAGGACTTGAAAGCCTCTCTAAAATTTAAGTCTAGGAAAGTAAGAGTTCAGATAAAAATAAGGTATCTTGGAGTGGAAGTGGAGTTGAAGCAGTGTAACATTTAAATGGGCTGGAAATAGAGTTTACCCTAACAGAAAACTTCTTTGATATCCTTTAAAGAGTTTCCATGATTTTCCCAGAGATCAAAGCATTAATAAATGTTAAACCAAGGAAAGAGGCATCAGTATTTGGAAAAGAGATTCATAGTCTTTTGGTTTTCCTGGGAACCTTGCTCTGCTCAGTAGCCACTTGCATAATACTTGTTGGTCCTGAGTTAGAAGCTGAAGTCCATTCCTACTCATCCCAGCTGAGAGACCTGTGCTCTAAAAGAAGTTCTGAAATGCCCAAGCACAAGAGGTTCTGCTCTGCTTCCACCCAAGTCTTGCTCTAGCATTCTACCTACCGAGGACCAGAAGCAGTAGCCACAGCAGCATGAGGTTGGAGGTGAGAAGTTGTCCCAGTGACAGTCAGGTGCAGCCCAGGTCCTGGAGCAGAGTCTGTCCCCACAGAATGTGAAGCTGGGTTTGGGCACTGTGGTTCATCAGCGATTTTATAAGAATAGAAACCAGGAAGTAGAAAAGTTCTGTTTGCCAACCAGCATTCTCCTTACCCCCAGTCTCACAGATGCTGAGAAAGTAAATGTTTTTCATAGAATTGTTCGGATATGTGCGTATTGGTCAGAAATGCCCCTGAAAATGTAAGGTGTCTTTATCCTATAGGTAAGGTCCCTTCAGAGAAACTTTCTTACTTGTTTTGACTTTGCAGAAAACATTGATTGAGTTCTGGAACTGGTAAAATTTAAATCACTTGCTGTTCTCTTTCACAGGGAAACCCCCTTTACCACTTGGGATAAATGCTTTGCTCTGCAATTCCTAATATTGTGGCACTGTGCCAACACTGCATGGATGCTGCTCTGTGGAAATCCACCCAGACCACATGAAGAGACAAACCCAAATTTGTTAGAAATGATGGTGGGAGTAGGATTATATTAAATGGCATTATATGTGGTCCAGGGACTCAGGAAGATACAAATTCTCTCCCACCCAAGTCATTCCTGCCCTCTACCCCATTGTAGACAGATATATGCAGAACAGAAGAAGTAATAAAAATAATCTATGGTGTCAGCTTTGAGGCATTAGGTCCAAACCACTTTTCAGTGGTCTGCAGGGCCTTAACACACACATGAGAGGTAAGACATATCTTCTAATACTTCAAAGTTTAAGAATAAATTTAGGAAGAGAGCCCTTACATCAGGGCTCTGATGCGACTTTAATAAAAAGAGTTCCTTACAAAGATGTGAACAAGGTTAAAATAACAAACTAAGGGAAGCTGTTAGAGACCCCAGTGCTGAAGAAGGAAGGGGAGAAAGGATTAGAAAACCCAGTGAGGGGGGAATCCAAGGTCAAGGTGGAGTAGGTGGAAGTTACACTTACCTCCTCCCAGGCCACACTGGAGTTACAACTAAATGTAGAGCAATCAACCTAAATAATCAACTGAAGACTAGCTGAACAGAAGTCCTATAACTAAGGATTTAGAGAAGAAGCCACATCGAGACTGATAGGAAGGGCAGAGATGGGAAAAGAGCTGGACCCATCCCACCAGTGGTGGCTGAGAGTCTGGAGAGATAGCTCACCCACAAAGTTTCCACTTGAGGAGTGGGGAGTCTTAGCCCCACACTGAACTTCCCAGCCTAAAACACTAGAGCCAGCATGAGGCACCTACATCACATATGGCTGTGAAAATCAGTGGGATTCTGTCAGCCAGGGAGAGATGAGACCCTGCGAGAGACACAGGTGCTCTCTTAAGGGGTCAACACACAAAATCTCATACACAACCACTCACCATGGGTCCTGGCAAAAGGAGTGAAGAGTGGACTAGAGTTGGGTGAAGAAATCCTGGGTTTGTGGCTTTGGGGAGAGAGCTGAAGAGACAGTCACCAGGATACCTGTACTAACTCCCTCTCCCACACCACTGGTGCCACATTTTTGGGGTGGAGCACTCCCTTCCTTATGACATCAGCCTGGGGGAATGCAATAGCCCCACACTCTGGGCTCCCTGTCATCCCACCCTGCACAGCTCACACCCAGCTGAGGGCTTAGCTGCTTGGCTTAAGGTGTAGGGGTTCAGGAAGACTCAGGGTGTGTCAGTGACTGAGTTGGGTGACTTAGGAGTGGGGACCATTCCCTCAACTTTCTTGTGAACCTGACTGGCACCTCTCAATCACAGGAGACCTGCAAACCACAGAGCTCCTGCAGTCCCCACCCACTCAACTATTGGTGGTCCTGCCCTACCAAACCCAAGTTCCCCAGGAGGTCAGCACAAAATCTGGATAAACTGAGTTGAGTGGCTCTGGGGTAGGGGATATTCCTTCCAACTTCCCCCAAGCCTGATCAATATATTTCCCTCATGGGAGAGCCACTAGCTTCACCCACCCAACTCTTGGCAGTCCCCTGTTGAGCTCTGGCTCCTGGCAGAATCTAGGACAGACTGAATTGTGTGGCTCTAGGATGGGGGCCATTTTTTTCTTGCGTGCCTGACTGGTGAAAAGTTTTCCCTTCACACTGCCAAATCTTGGTTTGGGCCTGATAAACTCTGCTGGCCACACCTCAATGACTCCCTGAGACCCTGCCTCACCACAAAGTTCTGCAGACACCCGGCAGGTGGCAAGTAAACTTGGTATACATTGGGACTTTTGCTAAGTGGCCCAAGACCCAGCACTGGCAATGACATTGAACCTGTATCAATCTGGTGAACACCACTCTCTTCTACATAGTGACTAATGAGAACCTACCTCATGCAACTAGAGTACCAGTAGAGGCTGTTTGAGTGACTGAGCCTAGTAGTCAGTTGGCAGGCAGACGCAAGCAGAGGCAGATCTCGAGGTGCCTTGGGCCTTTTTCTGACCTGCTCCTGGGCTTGGTGCTGATGGACGCTGGCCTTGGTATGAAACTTGGTCCTTACCATGCACACCCAGGCTCAGCAAAGGCAGCCACAAATTGTGGATCACTTTGTGGCTCCAAAAATGTTGCCCACTGCCAGTCACAGGCTGCATCTGACATTGACCTGCACCAGAGTCTGTTTCAAGAGGCCCCAGAACAAAAACACCCATTGGCTAACTACGGACAACATAAGAACAGGATCCAATTAGCTTCACAAGCTACATGTCCAAAGGGAGATCTCAGTAGGCACCAGACTGTACTAAGAAAAATTATGCTTCTTGTGGTCAGCACCTGCACAGCAGCTTGTATACTGTGGTCTGGGTAGATCCTCGGAGTCAGACAGCCTGAGGGCTGAACCCATGCAAAAATGGGCCAATCAAAACAAAGACTTGCTTACAACAGAAGGGCTCAGATAACACACACAAGGGACATTCCTGGAGAACTTAGCTCAGGTTATCAAGGAGACTGTACCACAGGGTCCTACAGGACATCCACTACATAAAGCCATCCTACCAAGATTAGGAGACATAGAAGATCTGCCTAGTACATAGAAACAAAGACAGAAAGGAAGCAAAATGAGGAGACAAATAAACATGCCCCAAATGAAATAACAGGAGAAATCTCCAAAGAGATAAATGAAATAGTTGCAAACAATTTAACAGTTATAAAGTACAAAAAATGATTATAATGATACTCAAAGAACTTAGTGAGAAAAATCAAAGAACTTAGACCTTCACAGTATGAGAAACAACATAAAACAATAAAAAAGAACTAGTTAGAAATGAAAATGCAATATTTAAAATGAACAATATACTAGTAGGCATAATCTGTAAGTTGAATGAAGCAGAGGTTTGAATCAATGATTTGGAAGACAAGGTAGCAGAAAACACCAAATCAAGCACACACACACACAAATTTAACCGAGGATAGTTTAAGGGACCTTTGGGACAATATGAAGCATAGCAATGTCCATATCACAGGAGTATCAGAAGGAGAAGAGAGAAAGCGAGGGATCAAGAAACTCTTTGAAGGAATAATGACTGAAAACTCCCCTAACCTGGTGAAGGAAAAAGACACACAAGTCCAGGAAGTACAGAGAGTCCCAAACAAGATGAATCCAAAGAGGCCCACACCAAAAACATCACCATTAAAAGAGAGAATCTTAAAAGCAGAAAGAGAAAAATAGTTAGTTACCTACAAGGGAGCTCCCATAAGACTGGCTGGTGATTTCTCAGCAGAACATTTCAGGCTAGAAAGGACTTACAACCAAGACTACTTTAGACAGCAAAGGTATTTAATATTCAAGAATAAATAAAGATATTCCAAGACAAGAAAAAGCTAGAGTAGTTCATTACCACCAAATCAGCATTACTAGTAATATTAAAGGGTCTTCTTTAAGAAAAAGAAAAGAAAAAAAAGGAACATAGTTATGAAGAACAAAATGTCAATAAATATGTACCTATCAATAATCACTTTAGACTGTGTGGGGGCAGGTGGATGTGGCTATGCTCTGCAACTTTGCGGAAGGGCCTTTCACTCCAACTCCCCTGGGATAGCACTCCCTTGGCCTTAAAGTCCCACATTGCTTTGCCCTCATGTGTCCAGCTGTGATCTGAATGGGTTGTGGGAGTTGGAGGAGGACTCAGGGAGACCCAGGAAGCCTAGAAATGGACTCAGTGGCCTTTGAGGATGTTAATGTGGAGTTCACCATGGAGGAGTGGGCTTTCCTGGATCCAACCCAGAAGAAAATCTACAGAGATGTGATGCAGGAAACTTTCTGGAACCTGGCATCAATAATATGTGTTTTGGAAGAAAAATGTGATGACCATGACAGTGAAGATTACTATGAATATTATGGAGTGAATCTTAGCAGTCATATGGTAGAAAGGCTCTGTAAAAGGAAGGATGGTAGTCTTTGTAGAGAAACCTTCCGCCAGATTCCAAATCATAATGAGAAGAAGAAAACTCCTACTGAAGTAAAACTGCCTGAATCCAGGTTGTGTAGACAAGTCTTCATGCATTATTTATCCTTTAATAACCACATGAGCTCTCACACTGGACCCCAACTAAGCCAGTGTCAGGAATATGAAGAGAACCTTATAAATGTAAGGAATGTGGGAAAGCTTTCAAGTATGGCCAATATATTCAAATACATGAAAGGAAGCACAAGGGAGAAAAGCCTTATGAATGTACAAAATGTGATAAAGCCTTCAGTTATCTAAGTAACGTATATAAACATGGAAGAACGCATGATAAATCCTATGAATCTAAGGAATGTGGTAAAACTAGCTCCTCAGGGTCCCTTGGAAATCATACAAGTATTCATATTGGAAAAAAATTTTATGAATATGCAAAATGTGGTAAAGCCTTAAGTTATTTAAGTATCTTATATAGACATGCAAGAACTCATAGTCAAGAGAATCTGTGTGAGTGTAAGAAGTGTGGGAAAGCCTTGAGTTCTCTCACCATGTTTCAAAGACACATGATCAAGCACACTTTTGAATGTAAGGAGTGTGGGAAAGTTTTCAGCTGTCGAAAAAGCTTTCGAAGTCATGAATCGCTGCACAGCGGAGAAAAGCCCTATGAATATAAGGAATGTGGTAAAGCCTTCGGTTGTTGCAGATATCTTAGAAATCATAAAAGAACTCACGATGTAAAGAAGCCTCATGAGTGTAAGGAATGTGGGAAAGCCTTCCGTTTTCCCTCTTCCCTTAGAACTCATGAAAGAACACATACTGGAGAGAAACCCTGTGAATGTAAGGAATGCGGGAAAGCCTTCAGTTGTCTCAGATATCTTGGAAATCATAAAAGAACTCATGGTGGAAAGAAGCCTCATGAATGTAAGGAATGTGGGAAATCTTTCATTTATCCCTCTTCCCTTAAATATCATGAAAGATGTCATACTGGGGGAAAACCCTATGAATGTAAGCAATGTGGGAAAGCCTTTAGTTGCCCAAAATACTTTCAGATTCACAAAAACACTCAGAGTGGAGAGAAACCATATCAATGTAAGCAATGTGGAAAAGCTTTTAGTTCTCCCATGTACTTTAGAGCACATGCAAGAACACACAGTGGAGAAAAGTCCTACAAATGCAAGGAATGTGGTAAAACCTTCAGTTTCTCAAGTAGTTTCCATAGACATGTGAAAAAACATTGTAGAGATAAACCCTGTTAATGTAAAGAGTGTGGGAGAAACTTCATTTGTCTCAGCTGTGCAATCACATATGATAATCCAGATTGGAGATGGACCCTAGAAATGTAAAGAGTGTTAGAAAGCATTAATTTCTCCCAGCTGTGCAATCACATATGATAATCCAGATTGGAGATGGACCCTAGAAATGTAAAGAGTGTTAGAAAGCATTAATTTCTCCCAGTTCTGCAATCACATATGATAATCCAGATTGGAGATGGACCCTAGAAATGTAAAGAGTGTTAGAAAGCATTAATTTCTCCCAGCTGTGCAATCACATATGATAATCCAGATTGGAGATGGACCCTAGAAATGTAAAGAGTGTTAGAAAGCATTAATTTCTCCCAGCTGTGCAATCACATATGATAATCCAGATTGGAGATGGACCCTAGAAATGTAAAGAGTGTTAGAAAGCATTAATTTCTCCCAGCTGTGCAATCACATATGATAATCCAGATTGGAGATGGACCCTAGAAATGTAAAGAGTGTTAGAAAGCATTAATTTCTCCCAGCTGTGCAATCACATATGATAATCCAGATTGGAGATGGACCCTAGAAATGTAAAGAGTGTTAGAAAGCATTAATTTCTCCCAGCTGTGCAATCACATATGATAATCCAGATTGGAGATGGACCCTAGAAATGTAAAGAGTGTTAGAAAGCATTAATTTCTCCCAGCTGTGCAATCACATATGATAATCCAGATTGGAGATGGACCCTAGAAATGTAAAGAGTGTTAGAAAGCATTAATTTCTCCCAGCTGTGCAATCACATATGATAATCCAGATTGGAGATGGACCCTAGAAATGTAAAGAGTGTTAGAAAGCATTAATTTCTCCCAGTTCAGAGAATGAAAGAACTCACACTGAAGAGAAGCCCTGTCAATGTAAAGATTGTAGAAGGGTCTTCATTCATCTCAGTTCTTTATAAAATCTTGAAAGAACTCATGCCTAAGAGAAAGTCTATGGATATAAAGAATGTGGGAGAGCCTTTCATGGACATGTAAGAATGACATGGAGAGATTGTGTATAAATGTAGAGAATATAGAAAAGCCTTTAGCTGTCCTTTTTCCTTGGAAATGCCATGAAAAAAGCTAAAAGTGGAGAGAATTCTACTGAACGTAAAGAATATAGGAAAACCTTCATTTCGCCTGATAGCCTTACGTACCCTGTGAGAATATACACTGGTAGATAGAAACTGTATAACTAACAATGAAGACAACCTTTTAAATGTTAACATGCTTTCAGAGTAGCTTGAAAACTGCACTGGAAGGAAATCATATTACTGTAACTAGTACATGAAAGCCTGGTGCAAATTAATTCACATACTCCCCAAATTTCACAACATGAAAGAAATGCTATAAATGTTAGATGTATATGGTCATTATCACTGACTCATTCTTAAAGTGATTCTCTTTCGTATGGTGTTCCACTTACTTATGCAGATAAACACTGAAGTAATATAATTCTGTAGGTACTCTTTAACAAGAGTTTCCATGTTTATAGGTATTTTTTTCCTTTTAGTTAGTTAATAAACATTTTGTGTTTCAGTATTGAAGTTTATTACATCCATGGGTGAATGGCAGTGGGTTACTAATATACAAGTAGGTTTTACTTTTTTTTAAATGTGTCTTTGTTGATTTCAGAGAGAGGAAGGAAGAGAGAGAAACATCAGTGATGAGAGAGTAATTGATCGTCAGTCTCCTGCACACCCCCTGCCAGGGATTGAGCTCGGAACCCGGGCATGTTCCCTGACCGGGAACCTAACCGTGACCTCCTGGATCATAGGTTGATGCTCAGTCACTGAGCCATGCTGGCCAGGCAGGTTTAACTTAAGGAATTTTGTAGTTCTGTATGAAAAGGCACATTGAAAAATGATACTTGGATATTTGTTCATTTTTTTCCTGCTGGCCTCCTGTGGCAAGTATTGAATGCCTCACCCACATATATCATCTTAACACAAAAGTGCCTTTTCATTGGCCTGAAGAGCCTTACTTCATTTCCTTGTCAGTAGATGTCTTTAATTTTTCTATTACACTTGATACTCAGTATTATTTTATTCAATAAGTATTTACCATGTATATGTACATACACAAAGGTCATTGTAGAGTAGAGTCCATGTGAATTGTTTTATGTATTGTCCTTTGCTTTTTATCTTTGCTTTTGGCTGGGATTTGGACTATGGAGTTTGCATTAAGAAGAGAATACTTTCCACAATCTATGGCCTTTTTGGTTCGGGGTTAGAAATCACCAAGGCCTAACTTACATGAAACTTGAGTGCAGAAGTGAAATAGGATTAGACTGGCTTTGAAGCCACTTGTGTAAAGGAGACAGACAGAAGCATAGAGCTCTTGTGTACCTTTGCTTTTAGATTGTTTTCCTCAGTCTTTGCCCCGCCAGCCAAGAGTATCCTGAAGACCACCAGTGACCCCGTCACTTCATTGATGTCAGGTGTAAGCTTTACAGTTGTGCAGAATTCAACAGCAAAGATCCCGCCTAGGTTGGGTTTTCCTGCAAACCCATAGGTGTCCATCACATGGTGGCAACAGGTGTAGACCGCCATGGTTGAGACTGTTTTGTAAAGGGCGGGGACCCTTCTCTAGGTAGTATTTGTATTAGGTCTAATTTGACTAGTAACCATCTTGGCCTGTTGCTATTACTGCTGACTGTGATTCAGCTCCCACTGTGACAGCTACAGTGGCGCAGTGCCCAGGAGCCGCATAACAGTCTGTTCTTCTGCCACACTGGGCAGTCCCCGTCTGAGGCGGTCCTTCCACGTGAGAACAGCACTTACTTCGTTTCAGGCTTAGTCTGGATGTTTCCTGTAACTCAGAGCTGCGTTTAATCTTCCAATGTTTTCAGTTACCTTTGGTTGTATGTAATTAAAATTATGTGTGTTTTCCCTCTAATAAATGCTTCTGTACTTATTAAAGAAAAAAAATCACTTTAAATGTAAGTGACTTAAATGTTCCAATCAAAAGAAAACAAGTCCCATATATATGCTGTCTATAAGAGACCCGCCTTAGAAAAAAAGATAAACACGGAATAAAAATAAAGGGGTGGAAAAATATATTTCGTGCATTGAAATGGAAAAAAAATTAGGGTAGCAATATTAAATCTGACAACATAAACCTTAAAACAAAGGTTATAAAGAGACAAAAAAAGGACACTACATAATGATAAAGAGAGCAATCCAACAAGCGGATATAACCCTTGTAAATATTTATACACCCAACATAGAAGCACCTATCTATATAAAGCACATATTGATGTACATAAAAGAAGATATTGAGAGTGAGACAATCAGAGTAGGGGATTTTAACACTACATTGACATCAATGGAGGAACCTCCAGACAGAAAACCAACAAGGAAATAATGGCCTTAAGTAACACACAAGATCAGATGGTTTTAATTTATTTTTATTTATCTTTATTGTTGAAAGTATTACAGATGTCCTCCATTTTTAGCCGCTTGCCCCCTTCCACCCAGCATAAGAACAGACATATAGATCAATAGAACGGAACAAAGAGCTCAGTAACGCACACCTTTATGGTCAATTAATACTTGACAAATGTTGAAAAGCGTATAGTAAGGTAAAGACAGTCTATTCAGTAAATGGTATTGGGAAAATTGGACAGATACATGCAAAAAAAATGAAACTAGACCACCTACCTGCACCATACACAAGAATAAACAGGCCCTAGCCAGTTTGGCTCAGTGGTTAGGGCATCAGCCACGGACTGAAGAGTCCAGGGTTCAATTCCAGCCCAGAGCAAGTACCTTGGTTGCAGGCTCAATCACCCGCCTCTGCTGAGGTGCTTATGGGAGGCAACCAATCTGCACCATACACAAGAATAAACAGGCCCTAGCCAGTTTGGCTCAGTGGTCTCTCCCTCTCTCTCTCTCCCCTCCTCCCTTTCTTCCACTCTCTGAAAAGCAATGGAAAAATTATCCTCAGGTGGGGATTTTAAAAAAAGAATAAACTCAAAATGGATTAAAGACTTAAATGTAAGACTCAAAACAGTAAAAATTCTAGAAGAAAACATAGGCAGTAAAATCTTGGATATTTCTCCTAGCAATATTTTTTCTGATATAACTCCTCAGGCAAGGGAAACAAGAGAAATGATAAACAAAAGGGACTACATCAAGCTAAAAGTTTTTGCACAGCAAAGGAAACCATCAACAAAATGAAAAGACAGCTCACTGAATGGGGGAACATATTCTCCAATGATACATTTGATAAGAGGTTAATATCCAAAACTCATAAAGAACTCACACAACTCAACAGCAAAAACCATAATCCAATTAAAACCAGGCAAAGGACATGAAAATATACTTCTCCTAAGAGGGCATGAAGATGGCCAACAGACATATGAAAAAATGCTCAACACTATTAATCATCAGAGAAATGCAGATTAAAACCACTATGAGATATCACCTTATATTTGTCAGAATGGTACTATTAATACATCAACAAACAACAAATGTTGCTGAGCTTGTGGAGAAAATGAAACCCTGGAGCACTGTTGGTAGGAATGCAGATTGGTGAAGCCACTGTGGAAAACAGTGTGGAGTTCCCTCAAAAAAATGAAAAATGGAACTGCCATATGACCCAGCAATTCCACTTCCGGGAATATATTCAAGGAAACCTGAAACACTAAATTTTTAAAAAAGAATATATACACCTCTATGTTCATCGCAGTGTTATTTACAGTCGTCAAGATTTGGAAGTAGCCCAAGAGCCCATCAATAGATGAGTGGATTTAAAAAGCAGTGGTATACTTACACAGTGTGATACAACTGGGCCATAAAAAAGAAGGAAATCTTACCTTTGCAACAGCATAGCTGGACCTGGAGACTATTATGCTAAGTGAAATAAGCCAGTCAGAGAAAGACAAATACCATATGATTTCACTTATATGTGGAATCTAATGAACAAAATAAACAAACAAAATAGAAACAGACCCATGGATACAGAGAACAGTCA